TCAGCTATCGTTCCAACCTGCCAGACCAGATGTACGCTCTGCACGCTACAGTCCATAAAAATAAAAGGTCAGCTATTAATTGCCTTCAGATTAGCTTTTGTGACTTCAAGATAGACCTTTTCACAGCCACCATCTCTTAATTTATTTTTTTTATACGTATTCAGAAAACTCTCTGTCCACAAAACATAACTCCCTGCTTCTCCACCCTAACCCTTCCATCGATCGCCATCAAAGAGATCGTAAAACCCCAAATGAGTGCAGACATGCAAATGTTGTCGAGAAAGCAATAAACATCACAATGATAATATATATATATAAACAAGTCTGTAAGCCTCCCCAAACCCTGAAGATATCCGAAGTGTATCATTTCATTTTTATACCTTGTGCTTCCTGATGCATAACTTCCAAAGAAAATGAATTTAATTATACCACTAACCTTACCTAACCCCAATCAACTCACAGGTAGTAATGAAAGCAATTAGGTCTGGCCATAGCAAAAAGGACTGCGAAGTCTTTATTTTATAGCGAGGTGCATTGGGGCAGAGGCCTGGGCCGCAGGCCACTGGTCACAGCCAGGATGGCAAGCTAAGCTGGTTTTTTATGAGCCAAGACAAAAAGGCAAAATCCTTCCTCACCCCACAATTTCTTGAAAGTTTTCTTCCTCCCTTGAAAAAAGCTTCCCCCCCCATCATTCTCAGAGTGCCAGGATTTGAGTTTACTTTACCCTTGTGAGATGGCAAAGGATAGTCTGTGTGTTTTAATATATTTCCATTAAAGCCAATTCCGACCTTGGGAGGAGGTTGTGTTGCAGGCATCACACCCCAACACGCGCACGGAGGCTGGCTCCCAGCCCTGCGTGATCTGGGAAATCCTCAGCCGTGTCATCCCCAGGCCAGCCAATCAGCTGGCCCAGTGGGTGTGGCTTGCCTCATTTAAGGCAAGCGCGGCCAGGAATCTCCCTCTTTGGCTGCTCAGCTGCATTTGTTTCCCAGCCGCCCGCCCTTCAAGGTTCCTCTTTTGACCTTGCTATGGACCTCGGTTGGTCGCCGTTAAGGGGCCTGGTAGGAATTTTTTCCACTTGGCAAATTGGCACCAGCCATTTTGTTTTTCGCCTACCTCGTAGCAAATCGTCACAACTTTCTCGGCTTTGGCGGTTAGGCATTGGTATGGGTATTGTTATGTAGATGTATGGGGGGGGAGGAGCGCCATCACCTCCCCCAAATATTGAAGGGTAGTCCGGTAAAGGATTCTGGGGGGCATGGCCTCATCCGAAGCCTATGGAGGTGAGGGCCTAAAGCGTACCCCCGAGCAGTGACCCCGGGGGAGTTCCTAGTTGATGTGCATCAGTAGGACTCCCCCTACTGGTGTTAACCCTTCCCGGTCTTCAAGCAAGCAGGCTGAAGCCGGATAGTTGATAGGACCAATGCCTAAGCCAATACCGCTCATCACCTGTAACCAATAAAGTTGTGGCCTAATTTTAGCCCATTAACCTTAAATTACTGTGTCCTGTTATTTTTCCTGGTGGGAGGCGGAATCTCGCCACACAAAGATTTCTCTAGCCCTCCGTAGCCTCCCTGTCTCATCTGTACGGCCTGATCAGAAGGAGCCCTATGGGAGGAATGACCTCATGATTAGGGATGAATAAATTTGTCCCCACTTTTGTTTCTCTCCATTTCTCATTACCCAAAGTTTTTGTTCTCCACGTTCCTACATCAAGTTTCTTTTTTCCTTTTTTCTTTTTATACAGCAAGAAAAGAAAAAAAGAGAAAACACAAATACCAAATTACACACAGGAATAACAATAGACACATAATTTTCTTAACAAACAATAAGACATAAATTGGTCTTAACACTAAAGACCCAACCTCCCGTCTATTCCATATTTCGATTTCATATAACTTATTGCCAGCACACACTTTTATCATTATTAAACTTTTTCTTAATATATCTTAATTCTTATATCTGCCTTGCAACTATTACTGAAGCTCCTTGAATGCTGCAACAAGTTTCAAGTCCCCCTGAAAATTCATCAGGATTTTAGTACGAATTTACCCTAACACGCACATTTTCACCATGCATCTCCCTCTAATGCGATGCCTTTTTGCATGCTCGTTTTACTGCTGTGTGCACCCTGAGAATCAGAAATCCTGACTGAAAAGGGGTGGAAATAAAACTCTGCTTGCTGGAGATACAGGACTGGCAAGACTTTGGACCTGATGGCTCCTCTCTCCATAGAATCTTCCTCTTCCACCCTCTTAGGATTGCTCTGTAATACTGTGTTATTTTATTATTATGTTATTCCACAAGAGCAGAAGAAGAACCCTGCTGGATCAGGCAAGATGCTCACAACCTTGGGCAAAACTTGAAATATGGCAAGCCTACCTAATGTGCAAGGACGCGGGTGGCTCTGTGGGTTAAACCACAAAGCCTAGGGCTTGCCGATCAGAAGGTTGGCGGTTCGAATCCCCGTAACGGGGTGAGCTCCCGTTGCTTGGTCCCTGCTCCTGCCAACCTAGCAGTTTGAAAGCACATCAAAGTGCAAGTAGATAAATAGGTACCACTCCGGCGGGAAGGTAAACGGCGTTTCCGTGCGCTGCTCTGGTTTGCCAGAAGCGGCTTAGTCATGCTGGCCACATGACCTGGAAGCTGCACGCCGGCTCCCTCGGCCAATAAAGCGAGATGAGCGCCGCAACCCCAGAGTCGGCCACGACTGGACCTAATGGTCAGGGGTCCCTTTACCTTTACCTTTTACCTAATGTGCACCTCCTCAAATGATAGGTGAACCAAAACACAGCTATCCTCTGATATTATACTTTGCAATGTGGGTCTCCAACCCAGAAATGTTTACAAAATACACACACACACAGGAGAGAGAGAAGAGAGAGAGAGAGAGAGAGAGAGAGAGAGAGAGAGAGAGAGAGAGAGAGACAGAAATACAATAACACATTATATTAGGGGAAATTGGATAATTAGAAGAAATTGCTTGCTTATGTGTTTGTTAGTAAAAAATTGTCTTAAGCATGCTTATATTAGGAGATCTGCCGATTTATTTTATTTTTTTGTGAGGGCTTGCAGAAGCAGAAATGTGGCAAGCCGCAATGGAAAAGTGAGAAACAGAGAGAAACCCAAACTGACGTCCCTGAATCTGACATGATTTGCACATGTGTGCGATTGTAATTGCTTGCGTCCCAGGGACAGTTTTAACAACAAAGTGATACACCTCACGGGAGTTCCTTCTCCCTTCCATTAAGAATAAAAGGGAAAGGAGCAACAAATGTGTGTTATGGTTTTTATGATGTGAGTTATAGCTCAATGGGAAATGAACTAAGAATCTCAAACTGCTTTCAGTCGAACAGGGAGTTTCCATATTAAGAGGTGCTTTTCTTGGACAATTTGGCCTGGGTTTTTTAGTCAGACACAAGCGAGTTGGAGATTGCTACATTCCAAAAGGGGAAAGGTCACCTTTCATTCTGCTGAACATCAGGGCTCCTTGTGGATTTTAATTGCTCACGGGGCTGTTGTGAATACAGAGTATAAAATGGTCCTAGGAAAACATAGCCAAACACAAGACTTCAGTCCAAGAATAACAGGTTCTGCATTGGCTCAGAAATGTTATGTTATTTTTTAAAAAATGCAAGTCTAAGAAATTAGAAACTGGAGACCAAAACACAATGTATATAGAGCTCAAATGGACTTGGAAAAACTGTAATCTAAGAGGTAATTGAAATGGTAAGGTGAAGTCATTTCCATAAAGTTTTACCACATTGGTTTTCATATGGTGAATATGAAAGCATCCCCTTGTGGTCACAATGTGTGTTTATTATGTCAGGGGAAAACCTTAGCGTTATCTGGGTAGCACCAATTTTTTACCAGCAAACATTTTCACAGCAAAAATGTGCTTGATGCATGCCATGAACTCCTCGCCTTCTTGACTTTATCATGGCTGTCCATCTCAACAGTGGTTTCAGTGCCACCTGCGCTGTAATAATGTCAAAATGTTGCATGGCCATTCAGATTTGGTGAGGTCATGGAGTCAATTCAGAGTGAAGGCAAATACCCCTGCCATCACTCTGAACTGGCTTTGTGATTATGCCGTATAACAAGACTAGCTCTCACTCTGAATGAGGAAAACCTTCACCCTTATTCATAGCCTTCTTGCAAACTCCCCAATATTAAATGCAAATTGTGTATTTTGTTTCCACCCAGCTCTAATTTCAGTGTATGAATTTCAGTACCTGAGCAAACACAATGTTGGTGGGATTCTGTGTATACCAGAGATAATGAAGATGTGCATAAAATTGAAATTGAAATACTTTATTGTCACTTGTACAACTTGTATACAGTGAGATTACACGAGCACCCCCCACTCAGCTCTCTTAGTCTTAATTTCCCTTTTTTACTGACGCACACCCACCAAACCCGAAAGTCAGTTGCCCTGGTTTTTTTTTTAATGATATTTATTAAGGTTTCAAAGAAAAAATTACATGAATAAAAAGAAAAGAAAAAAAGAAAGAAAAAAAAATGAAAAAAAAATACAAAATACAGAAAAAAGATAAAAGACACTTAAAAAAAACACATCAATCTTTCCATGCCTTACATTCATTACCTTGCTTCCCTGACCTTCTCACACCTCCCTTTTTGTATTCCAGTTCTATTGGTTAATTCAGCAATTCCTTTCCCTCTTTGTTTTAGTCTTAAACCTTTAACTTAATATATTATAACTTTGGATTTTCACCTGTTAACAATCCATTTTTACATACACCTTTATAACATTGCTGCTAAAACCACTTAACTTCATTCTGACATCATTCTAACATTCATTAATTTTGCAGTATTTCTGTAAATAGTCTTTAAATTTCTTCCAATCTTCTTCCACCGACTCTTCTCCCTGGTCCGAAAGTCAGTTACCCTGTTGTTATCTTTTCATTCAGCAGCCTAACAGCCCACGGATAGAAGCTGTTCTTTACCCTGTTGGTGCGACTAATCATGCTTCTATATCTTCTGCCCGAGGGCAGGAGATCAAGAAAGTGCCAGCCAGGGTGTGAATCATCCCTGAGAATTTTCCTCACTCTCCTGAGGCAACATTCTTCCACTATTTTTCATCCAGAGGATTCATGGGACAACCCATAATATCTTATGCTGTATTCACCACCCTCTGTAGGCACTTCCTATCAGATGATGTCAAACCAGCGTATCACACACTGATATGCTGTATGATAGGACACTTTCTATTGTGGACCGGTAGAAGGAGATCATCAAATGTTGATTGACATCGTTCTTCCGCAGTACTCTGAGGAGATGGAGTCTCTGTTGGGCTTTCTTAACCACCCCTTTACAAAAGTCCCCCCCTTACAAAAATGCTGGACTGAAGCATATAAAAGAAATTAAGAGAGTGCCGCCCCAAGTTCTGATTTCAAGTGCAAAATTTAACACATATGTTTATGTTATGAACCAATAACCAGCACTACCACCAATAGCTACCACCAAGAGGGCAGCTAGGTTGAAAAACACCAGAAGATGAATAATATAATTGTAGAGTTGGAAGGGACCCTGTGGGTCATCTAGTCCAACCCTCTGCAATGCAGGGATCTCAACACACAGCCCCCCCATCCAATCTGAAGCTACCCACCACCCATCATTCAACCCTAATTATTTCTGAACAGCTTAGAGCAGGCATAGGCAAACTCGGCCCTCCAGATGTTTTGGGACTACAACTCCCATCATCCCTAGGTAACAGGACCAGTGGTCAGGGATGGTGAGAATTGTAGTCCCAAAACATCTGGAGAGCCGAGTTTGCCTATGTCTGGCTTAGAGCTGCAACTGACTTTCATTTCAAGTGAAATCCAACGTAGGCTTGGAAGGTGATGCTCAGCCAGGACATCTGCTGGAATTTTGAGCGATGTTAAAAGAACACAGATAGGATCAGGGAAGCTTCTCTGGGGGGGGATGAATGTTGCACATCACAGCTGGACATGCTGTAGCTGGACGAAGCCAGATGTGCAGAGCAGCGGTGGAGCCAGACACTGGAGTATCCTGGGGGTTTCTTCATTGTTCCCGGATGGGAAAATAAAAATAAAGGAAACACCATGCCTGGAAGATAAGACACTGCTGCTTTGGTGCTCCCCACAATCATGTTGCTCCCCCATTTAGAGCAGCGAGCAGTGAAGGGAATTGCAGTAGAGAGATTGTAAAGACCACTTGGGCTGGTAGGAATCATCTAGCAGTCGTGTCACAGGTTGGAGGATATTGGTGGGGCTTTGAAAGCTGAAGGCTCTAATCACAGGGGGTGGGCAGAATCTGCAAAGCCCCCGACTTATTTATAGAAGGCTCTCTCTGAACTGCAACATGCATCCACCCAAGTGTTTGTTTGCTTGAGTTTTGTAAGTGCTTATATAGATGTCCGATACGAAAACAGCTGGTGACCTGCACATCAGCCGTGATCCAGGGACACCAATGGCAGGAGAGGGTGGGGTGTTGGCAGCAAATATTTTCCTGGCTCAGTGCTCTTTTTTTGGAATAAATGGGTCCACACTTACCACATTTAAATGAGCATTTTTCAGGGTGGACTCTCATGGCCCTTGGGACATAAGGGAGCATAAGATGTTGCAAATCTACTTCTCCATAGGTGGAAATGAAGACCCGCCCATGGAAAAGGAGATCAGCTGCTGAAGTTCTGCAGACTCCATTTTGTATATGTTACATAGGGGTGGGAAAAGTATGAATCAATTATTGCAATTTTGAAAGAAGACATTCAAATGCAGTGGTGCTACATCATGGACTTACCTCTTGAGTATCTCTGGATACCAGCCATTAATTCTCTGAGCAGATTCAGCTCAGAGTGTATTGAAACTATGCTAAAAGTAAGGAAGTGAATGGGGAAAGTCTCCTGCTGAAGCCTCTTTTAAATAGATGGAAGCTAGGTGGAAACTGTAGCTCAGTGGTAAACCTTCTGCATCCCAGATTCAATCACCAGCATCTGCAGGTAGGGTGGAGAGAGACCGCAGTCTGAAACCCTGGAGAACTAAATAGGCTATTGGTCTGACTCTGTATAAAGCAGTTTCCTATAGTCCTTGTAGCAATTCTGAACTAAATAGACCATTGGCCTGACTCAGTTTCCTATAGTCCTTGTAGAAGGGACGCGAGTGGCACTGTGGGTTAAAGCACAGAGCTAGGACTTGCCAATCAGAAGGTCGGCGGTTCGAATCCCCACGACGGGGTGAGCTCCCATTGCTCGGTCCCAGCTCCTGCCCACCTAGCAGTTAGAAAGCACGTCAAAGTGCAACTAGATAAATAGGTATCGCTCTGGCGGGAAGGTAAACGCCATTTCCGTGCGCTGCCCTGGTTCGCCAGAAGCGGCTTAGTCATGCTGGCCACATGACCCGGAAGCTGTACTCTGGCTCCCTCGGCCAGTAAAGCGAGATGAGCGCCGCAACCCCAGAGTCGGTCACGACTAGACCTAATGGTCAGGGGTCCCTTTACCTTTACCTATAGTCCTTTGGTCTGACTCTGTTTAAAGCAGTTTTCCATAGTCCTAGAGCAAGATAGTGCTATTTTACATATTCCTGTGCAGGATAACATTTTCAGTTTCATGGCTATCAATGGCTATGCTCTATCTTCACAATTGGAGGCACAATGCTTCTGAATACCAGTAGCTGGAAACCATGGGAGGGGAGAGGGCTCTTGCGCTCAGGTCCTCCTCGCAGGTTTCCCATAGGCATCTAGTTGGCCATTGTGGGAACAGGACGTTGGGGTACATGGGCCATTGGCCTAATCTAGCAAGCTAAGCTCATGTTCTTATGACACTTAAAAGCAGGTGTAAGGGACCGTGCTGAAGAGGGCTGCACTGAGGAAGAATGGTGGGAGCCACCCCTCCCCCTGATCCTGATCCTGAATCTTCCCAGGAGCAGGAGGACAATATAGATTTAGAACAGTGGTTTGCAGAGGGGCATAGTTCAAAAGGCAGAAGCTGGGAAATACTGGATGGGGAACAGCTAGAAGAGGAAACACGAGAAGAGAGAGAGTTAACAGATTCACAGTCGCTGGACAGCATTCACCCTCTGTCTCCAAAGTCACGGAGAGCTCAGAAAGTGTCAGAACAGAAAGCGCAGAGACTATGAGCTCAGATTACAAGGCAAACAAGTGATGTAGATTAGTAGGGAATGAGGGGAGGGGGGAAAGACCCTTAATTGGAAGCACCACCATTTCTGGGAGATGTATTCTCTGTTCTCTTGCTCTGGTTATTAAAGTTTCTAACTGGTAAGACATTCCTTTCCTTTGATCTTCTTCTCTACTGCCATGGGGGGGGGGGGGACTATTCCTCAAAGCCTGACAACAGGCATCCAAGAACACTTTTTATTGTTCTTCCAGTGTGGTGTAGTGGTTAAGAGTGGTGGACTTGTAATCTGGTGAACCGGGTTTGCGTCTCTGCTCCTCCACATGCACTACTGGTTGACCTTGGGCTAGTCACACTTCTCTGAAGTCTCTCAGCCCCACTCACCTCACAGAGTGTTTCTTGTGGGGGAGGAAGGGAAAGGAGAATGTTAGCTGCTTTGAGACTCCTTCAGGTAGTGATAAAGCGGGATATCAAATTCAAACCTTCTCCTCCTCTTCTTTTTCCACCACTTTGTGTAAGGCAGGTGCTATCAATAGGTCTTTGTTGGCCTTACAGGTCAAGATTGCGATGAGCTAAAGAAGCAACTGGGCAGCTCCGTCAGTAGAGCACGAGACTCTTAATCTCAGGTCAATGGGTTCGAGCCCCACACTGGACAAAAAGATTTCTGCCTTGCAGGGGTGTCAGGCTCAATGACCCTCATGGTCCCTTCCAACTCTACAATTCAAGATTTTATGAAGCCTTCCTCAGCCTGGTGCGTTCGGGTTGTTTTGGACAGCAGCTCTGAGCTTTGGCAGTTTCCACCTGCTGAGTCCCATCCTGGGTTCTGTTTCCTGGTGTGATGCAATGGGCTGTTGGGGATACTCAAGTGTGACAGACCCTCAAGCTTTCAACCAGTGCGACAAAGCGATCGAATGTTGGGAACTAGCTATTATGTACTGAGATCATGTAATAAGCGATATGATAAAACATAGCAATCTGGGATATAAACCGAGCCAGCTAAATTCAATCTTCATGGACAGTTCAGTGGAAAGTTGGCCTGGAAAAAAAACACACAACCCGCCGTGTATCATATTTCATGCCTATAATAGGGTTTTCATGATTTTACAAAGTGCTTCAACCAGACATGCTCAGCTGGAGTTTACCCAGCAGGAGACCCTAAAACAGTGCATCTGTGTTTTTCAACTCCTGCCAAGATCTCTTGAATCTGATCCGGAATGACTTTGCATCTTTGGAATGTACATTCACTTTTCTCCGGCCTTATCCAAATAATAATAATAAAAAAGAAAGCGAGCCCTGGGAGAATTCCATATGGAAACACTAAGCCAACATTATAAAGGATTTCCTATAAACAAAATTATGGTCGCAAATTTTGGACGCGGACCATGTTGAAAACAAAGGCGCCCATTGTATCTTTAAAATGTTTTTTTAATAGATGACATAGACACACACACACACACACACACACACACGGGGAGGTTCACATCCCTCTTCTGAAGATTGTCAAAGCACCCCTAACAAGAAGAAATTTTAATCGTTCTGTGCGCTAAATCCCCTGAAAATAAATATTCAGAGGAACTTCAAAAAAACACCCCTTAATTAGAATCACATGCGCCATGCTACACATTTTTGGCTGCGGCATGTGGCCAGGTTGTAATTTAATGATCTGCCATAAATATAAGCCATAATGAGCAGACTTTGCGTTGCACTCCCGTATGTCAGACCGCGGTGGCAGAAGTTTATCGTCCGATTTTGTTCAGGTATCAAGCCTCGAAGGTTCGCCTCCATCCCCCTCCTGCAAACAGACAATTTAAGGGGGGGTGGGGAGAGGAGGAGAGAAAAAGAGAGAAATAGGTTCAGACTCTCCCATGGGAAAAGTGAATGAATGCTGCTATAAAAACCAAATTCGAAAAAATTCTAATAAGATTACAGGGTTAAAATGAAGCAGGAGGGACAGACCAGCTGAAGACAGAGATGGGACGCTGGGATTAAGGCGTGGGAAGAGGCACAACAAGGCAAGGAATTGGTTAACCAAGAGTTAGCGGCCAGATTTTAAGATTTGTATTTGGTTTTAAGCTTTTACAGCGTGATAAATGGTAACAGCTACAGGGCCCATCTGTGCTATGCTTTTAAAACAGTGTCACACCATTTTAAACAATCCTGGCATCCCCTGAAGGATTCTGGGAACCAAAGTTCCTTAAGTTGTCAGGAGACCCCTATTCCCCTCAGAGAGCGACAATTCCCAGAGTTCCCTGGGAAGAGGGATTGATATAATTCCCCTCTGTAATAAACAAAATCTGCCCTTATTCCCTTATGGGGGACACAAGAGCCCTTATAGAGTCCTTTGTAGGTTCTCCATCGGTAGGAGAAAAAAACAGAGGCCAACCAGAGAATACTGAGAAGCAAAGCAGCTAGTAAGGCTGATCTTTATTGAACCGTTGCAACAGGGTGCTCCCCTCACACACAGGAAAGGAGAAGGACCCAGAACCAAGGTTTGCCTGCCTTTATATAGATATTTTAAATTGCCCGCCCTGGAGCTCAAGACCACCCCTCCATACATCATACATACATCACAGAAGGGGTGTAACCCAAGACCACCCCCCACAAACATCATACCTACATCACAGAAAAGGCAGTCTACAACAGAAATTTGAATGTTGTTGTTTTTCCTTTCTGCCAGGTTATCTGGTAATGCCTTATCTGATTGCCTTTCCTGGTAGTCGGGCCATTCCTTTGAGATGGTGATTACCCAATTCCTGAGACAATGGGAAGGTTCCCTCACCCCCTCACTCCTTGCAGAGAAAACATTTGGTCAGTTGGGGAGTCAAAATGGTTTCAGGACTGTCATCCTGTGCTGCTCCAGACATGTGGTCCACATATCTATGTATGTGCTTGGTTGGTACATTTATGAACATTATATATAGACATACACACATACGGCTCGGAGGTCAGATAACTTTAGACCTTGTGGTGTTTTTTTTGGTTCTTGTTTTTATTATGTATTTTGTGTTTTTTCTCGCAAATTGTTATGTTGCAAACCGTCCAGAGATCTACAGATGGAGGACAGTATGCATATTTAATAAATAATAACAAATAAAACAATTAATTTGACAAAGCCGATGAACTTGACCCAGTGGTACCAGCTTCTCGAAGTTTGATTGCTATTTGCATCTCCAGAATACTCCCTACCATAGTGACCCGCTAGATCATGGGTTGGCAAACTAAGGCCTGGGGGCCAGATCCAGCCCAATCGTCTTCTAAATCCGGCTTGCAGATGGTCCTGGAATCAGCGTGTTTTTGCATGAATAGAATGTGCCCTCTTATTTAAAATGCATCTCTGGGTTATTTGTGGGGCATAGGAATTTGTTCATATATCTTTTTCCAAAATATTGTCTGGCCCCCCACAAGGTCTGAGGGACAGTGGACCAGCCCTCTGCTGAAAAAGTTTGCTGAACCCTGCGCTAAATAATCCCACTGCCCCACAGGGGTGGTATTGGCCAGTTTGGGAACCACTGGTGTAGACATTAGGTGGACCAAATGTCTGGCTCAGTACAGTGGTGCCCCGCAAGACGAATGCCTCGCAAGACGAAAAACCCGCTAGACGAAAGGGTTTTCCATTTTTCGATGCGCTTCGCAGGACGAATTTCCCTATAGGCTTGCTTCGCAAGATGAAAATGTCTTGCGAGTCTTGAGTTTTTTTCCGCCCCCCCCCTTTTTCTAAGCCGCTAAGCCACTAATAGCCTTTTAGCCGCTAAGCCGCTAAGCCTTTAATAGCCGCTAAACCGCTAATAGCGCTAATCCGCTAAGCCGCTAATAGGGTTGCTTTGCAAGACGAAAAAACCGCTAGACGAAGAGACTCGCGGAACAGATTAATTTCGTCTTGCGAGGCACCACTGTACAAGGGAACTTCCTGTATTCCTTTGAAGCTCTGACTGGGCTTGGCCCATTTGGTCCTATTTCCCATTTTCTGTAGCACACCAAAATTGGCATGTTATCCAGGCCCTGGAGGACAGCAAGAGCCAGGATCCTGCCCCAGTTGTCAAACTGACTAATTTGCAGTGAAAGCCAAGAGTGGAAATCCAGCCTAATATCAAGAGGAGCAGCTTCTTCCCTCACTTTCTCCTTTGCCAGCTTCCTTACGATTGCCCAACTCCCTGGCACGAGAAGGATTTCTCCTTTCAAATGATCTAGATCTCACTGAGGACCATCGGCTCAGCTTAACAGGTCCCGCCGGGGAGATAAATTGTTCGGCGGAGAGCTGCCTTGGCGTTCCAAATAAATAAGGCTCCCCGTGTCATGCTTTGCTTAGCCTGCTAATCAAAACGTGTCG